CCCTGTTGTTCGTAATGAGCCTAGGCCCATGTCACCAAATGGAACAAATAGGCCTGTCCAAGCTGCTTCAAGATCCACAGGCTCCCTCGACTCGTTCAGGGGGCAGTGGGTGCTGGCCAATGTGCTCTGCTGAGTGTCCCCTTCTGGATCCCTTGTTCTGACCCTGTTCCTGGTTTCTTTTTTATTCATCCCCAGAAATCTGTTGTTGCATTCCCAGTGGCCTCCCTTTTTGAGGGGAGCTTATAGTTGTTTGTGGTGGGCTTAGGCCCGCATTCCCTGAGCCCAGCAAATCTGTCCCATCTGCTGCCCTGCTTCCTACCCTATCTGACGGTGTTCTGCCAGTTTTCTCCCTGCTCTGACATGTGCCACACACAGAGGCTGCCCATGCCCCTGTGCGCTGTGGTAGACACACTGGGCGAGAGAGGACAGGGAGCTGGTGAAAACTGGTGCCACACTTTTATGCAGACTGGATCCACTGTTGGGGCGTGGAGAAGAATCTGGAACTGGTGGCCCATTGAAATTCCTCCCATATTGGTAGCGGAAGTTAGGTTATTGCCATGCTGTAAGGGTGTTGGCTGGAAGGTTGGTGGCTCTTAGTAGAAGCAAACCAGCAGACTCTTTTCCTGGCTTGTTGGCAGCCTTACCAGGTGTACCAAGGATAAAGTAAGTCAGAAAGACAAGTCCTTCCACACAGAGCTGCTCCCTCCCTGTTAGGACTGGGATGGTGGTGAGCAGCCATGCAGTACTACTCCCATGTGGCAGAGAGATGTAGTTAGCTGTGCTAGCCTGAAGTTAGCCAGAAGACAGGGCAGAGATTGCCTTATAGACCAACTGCATCAGAGAAGCATGAGCTCATAACATTTGATGAAGTGAGCTCTTGCTCAGGAAAGCTTATGAATCTCTGCTTCAGTTAGTCTGTAAGGTGCCCCTCTACCCTACCTTCCACTATCTGTAGTATGACCTCTCTGCGAACCAAGCAAAGGGTCTTGCAATCTGGGAGACTGCCTTTGAGGTTAAGCCTCTGCTGCAGGGTGCAGCATAATACAGAGACACCTGATCGGTTGTAAACAAGCTGGCTCAGGTACTGGAAGCCAATTCTTTGCTGTGTCAACAAACAGCTTTGCAGAAGCAAATTTACCCTGCTGAGAAGCTGGGGATGAGATCATGCACTTGGGTTTCTTGTTTGTTTGTGACTATAAATTGCCCCAAGCTAATTAGAACTGTGGTCAGAAGACACCACCTAGTGCCAATGCCTTAAGCATTTAAGAGGAGCAAGATTTGTTGGTAATCCTTTTCATGGGACCCGCCATACAGCGGGGAGAGATGCTAGCCAAGCTTTTGGGCACCAGATGCATTTAAGCCAGTTAATTTTCTTGAAGCATCTGAAAAGCAGGAGGCTTAAAATGGGACTCTGTGTTCCTGGAGAAGTTAAATCCGAAGAGCTGTCAGCTTTGATTTTTGAAAGAGCAACTGATGGAGTAGAGCTGTGGGACTGGAGCTCTGTTGCTTAAATCCTTTTTCTTTCTCACAGATAGTTCCCAGTCTAAGAGGCTATCTTCCTGCCAGAATAAGCTCTGTGTTGCATCAGTCAGCCTCTAATCATTGTCTCCATCTTCTTTGTATGTCTCTCTTTCAGGCTGGACCTGCCGAGATGACTGTAAATATGAATGCATGTGGCTTACAGTTGGACGCTATGTCCAGGGAGGTTATAAAGTGCCTCAGTTCCATGGCAAGGTGAGCAGGACTTCGCCACAGAAAAATTTCCCTTTCACCTTATTCCTGAGAACTGTGCAGCAGCTCTGAGGAGGCTGCTTGTCTTTGTCCTATTTTATAAATAACCGGCTCTTGGAGCCAGGGCCAATCTTGTGGCAAAAAGGTGGGCCCTCAATTTCTTGGATTGCAGGGTTGCTTGGCCCTGAGCTCACTTCCCTGTTGGGGCCATGAAGATGTCTGCTTTCAGGCATATAATATTGGGCTTGGTTCCATCAACAACAAGAGAAAAATGAGGGCATAGCAGGCATTTACACACACACCTTTTTGTCCTGTGATGCACTGGAGGTGCGGCAGGTTGGAGCAGACTTGATTACTGAGTCTGTTCCGCATGCGAGCTGACGTGCGCTGTGCTGTGCCGCATGCAGTTGTATAGGTGGTGAAATGCGCGTTAGCGCGCAGAAAATGGCAGCGATGCACTTTTGAAATAAAACACTTCTGATGTGTTTTAGTTAAAAAATGCACCACCGCCATTTTCTCAGCGCTGATGCACGTTTCGCTGCTTATACAACTGTATGTGCTGCAGCGCCGTGTGCAAATGTGTACAAATGCCCAGTGTTCCTGCATGTATTGAAGACTCCCAGTAAGTGTCCAGCATGGACCCTTTGAACTAAGCTACTAAACAGCACCAACTTCTTTCAGCCTCTGATTTACAGACAGGTGCTTTTGGTTTTGCTAATAATCTCAAGGTGTTTCTTTCCAAGGCGTCCTTGAGACTGGAACTCTCTTGGAAATCCCTGAATGATGCTTGGTAGTGAACCCAGAGGAGCCCATCCACTTCATGCTGGCTACAAAGAACTCTAAAGAAAATCCCTTAAAACTGCCCAAACCATGTACCTATGCCAAATGCCCCTGTTAATCTGGTTAGCAGAAAAGTCTTCAGCACATCTGACTTCATTTGGTTTTGATTTGAGCGCTGCTTCTGTTTCCATGGAGACTCTTTTAGTATTGCAGGAGTAATGAAGAATGGTCTTGTGATTAAATCCCTGACATAACACTGGTGATGGTGCTCTGCAAGGACTGTACAAGTGATGCTCTCCTATCTCATCCTTTGCCTTGTCTACTTGTATTGTAAACCCTTACTAAGCCTTTGCTGTCTTCCTATACTTGCGTACAGCAGCTGGCAGCATAGGGTCCTGATGCCCAGAGATGCCACATTGCATTGCCTGTATGTGTCTGAATGTACAAGTTAATTTGCACCACTGCACAGATGCATGCAGGGCAGGTGAGGCATCTAACTACAGCTCTAGGAGCATGAGTTAAAGCCTTGCTCTCAACTGAACTTGTCACCAGCGATGCAGTTGTAAATGGGCATGTGGCTGTTCAGGTTTGGAGCTGAAAGTGGCTGGATGTGATACTAACCACATTGCTTCTGTGTGTACCACTGGCTACAGAAAGTGGCACATACCGTAAGCATGATAGTTCCATGGGCCCCTCGACTCGGGTGACCTTTGCTCTCACAGATCACAGTAGGGTCTGGGTAGGGTCAGAGTTTGCTATAAATAGGTAGAGGGAACTGCCATGATAGAGGAGGCAGGCTTTAAATTCTAGCTGTGGCAGGGTTCTTAGGACAGAATGGTTTGCCTGGAACTACTGCTACTCAAACTGTCTCCTACCTTTCAGACACCAACTCTTGCCTGCCGTAATTGCTTGAAGAAAACAGGACCTTTGAATTTGTGTCACTGATTGCTCCTCTCCTCCCTTTTTCCCCTTGATCTCTCTTTAGTGGCCCTTCTCCCGCTTCCTGTTCTTCCAGGAACCTGCTTCTGCCTTCGCTTCTTTACTTAATGGACTTGCCAACCTTGTGATGTTGAATAAATACAAAGCATCTGTCCCGCCTTCATCTCCCATGTATCACACATGCATTGCCTTTGCCTGGGTAAGTAGCTCAAATGTTTCAATGACCTGTTCCCCCTCTCTTCTGTTTCACGCCCCTATTATGTATCTTCCAGTTGTTGGATTTTTAAATAGCACTGCTGTTTATAATAGCTGGCATTTAGACATGGCTTTGGAATGAAACATGCTTTCCAAAAAGTAGCTCTAAAATGCAGCCACTTCTGGAGTGGAACATAACAGCCATTTAACAGCACAAAGGGCCATCTGGAAATCGGGGTGTTTCAAGTGGCTAAAAATAAAAAAACGGATTTTAGGCAGGTATTTATCCAAAGAAAAATTCTTCTCTGAATAGAAGACACTTATATAACTTGAAGTGGGAGGGGTTCCTGTTTAGAGGTTCTGTGTTTTAGGTGGCAGATTCCTGTTAAATGATAAGAGTTTTCAGATGCTGGGTTGAATCAGACTGTTGATTATGCCTGAACAAATCTCCCTCAGCTGTGCAAGGCCCCATTGAATTCAAAAGGCTCTTTGCTTGGGTGGGGTCAGGATTAGGACCATACTTGGGGGTGGAGCTGTCTGCAGATTGAGCTGAGAATCTTCTATAGCTCACAGGTACTCAGACTTATGATCTAGCCTGGTCTGAGATCTTTGCTGTTCTCAGCATTTTGCTAAATAAATTGACCAAGAGTATAGGCAAAGGCCTCTGTCTGTTGTTCAACCGTTTACCTGCCAGGGGAGCTTCTGCAGGGTCAGGAACCAGATTTGAGCCTCTGGTAGTATTATCCAGCATAACAAATCCCACCCAGTGAGGATGGGGCAAATAAACCATGCCCAGTGAGAGGGTCAGAATATGGCATCAGGGATCTAGGTGGTGGCCCTGCTTCTAGAACTTGGATCTAGAGGTACCCAGTGTATGGGGGACAGGGAAAGAATCTTGGCTCGTTCCAGTGATTCCAATGTGTGCTCAGTTCTAATGGGGCTTGTAGCTCAGAATAAAGTGACTGCTGTGAAGAGGCTCAACTGTGTAACAGTTACAGTCAAGCAGCCAGATCATGAAGAACCTTGCAGAAAGGACCCTTCACAGTCCCACTCCCTAACAGTCAGTTAAGATCAGAGAAAACCAGATCTGTTTGTGAGGAGGGGTGTATAGCCCTCATAAATTCATCATTGTCATACAAGGGGTGTGTGGAGGGTGTTGTTCTGACTCTTTGCCAGCCAGCACTGCAAATTGCTTCAAGGACTCAGATTTTTTTTTTCTTGAGTCTAGAAGGATCTCTTGAATCATCCAGTCTGACCTCCTATCTAACATGAACCCTAGGACTGTCATTGGTGAGGCCTCACCTGGAGTACTGTGTCCAGTTTTGGGTCCCATGCTTCAAGAAAGATTAAGACAGATTGGAAAGTCCAGCAGAGAGCAACAGTAATGATTTAGAAGCCTGGGAAGCAAGACTTTGGAGGAAAGGATGAAAGGCCTAGGGCTGTGAGAAGACTGGTTGGGGGGAGGGATTTGATACGTCTTCAAATACCTTAAGGGCGATTACAGAGGGGAGGGAGATTGGGGTTTCTTTTTTTCTGCTCCATGTCTGTAAGGGATTAGGACCAGTAGCAATGGCTTCAAGCTGTAGCAGAGGAAATTTAGATTGGAGATTACAAGGGTGGTCAGGCATTTGAAATGTAGGTTTGACTACGAGGGTGGTCAGGCATTTGAAACAGCTACGCAGAGAAGTAGTGGATTCACCATCTCTGGAAATGCTCAAGAGCAGGTTGGACAGACACTTAGCTGAGATTCCTTAGTCAGGGATGATCCTGCCTTGAGCTGGAGGCTGGACTAGGTAACCTCAGGAGGTTCCTTCCAGCTTTACTTTCTTATGATCCTGTGACTTTTCCAGTTGCCCTGGATTGAACCTGCTAATTTTGTTTGTTTGACTAGAGCACCTCTTCAGAAAAGCATCTAGCTCTGATATCAAGACTGCAAGAGGTGGAGAATCTGCGCCTGCCTTGGTGGATTGTTCCAGAGATTCATCACCCTGATTTAGTCTATTGTTGTAAGAAAACTTGCATCTATATTATGGACTTGCTGATGAGGTCCTGTAAGATGGCAGCAAGCCTCATCTCTTTGTCTTTCACCCAAAATGCAGCTGCTTTTACGGGGTGATTCTGGATTAAGAGAAATAAGTTTGGGTCAGTGGTTGCCCCAACAGGTGGATGGGCAGTGAGCTAATTGGATTTTCCTTGAGTACACATGGAAACATGACCTTCCACTTTACTCAGAAAAGATCATGAATTCCCTTTGTTTATTGTTTCCCCCCAATGCCCAGTATGGACAGGGTGAATGACACTACTCCAGAGTTAGCAATGAATAGCTGGCTGTGTGCGTGAGAGAACAGCCCCTCTGTCTGAGTTGTGCCATGCTATTTTGATGCAGTGGATTAACTTGCCTCACTCCACATTATTGAGTTTCTTGGATTGCAGCATCCTAGAAATGCAGAAGGGGCTTAACTGTGTGGGGCCGGATTACCATGTTGCTTAGTGGGAGACTAGAATAGCATCCCAGCTTCTCCCCCAGGGACAATGAGAGGCATGGGTGGCATTCTGGTTTCAGTTTGAAAGCCGCTCTGATTTTAATCTGGCCCTGCCAAATTCTTCTGGATTCTGTGCTGGGGTGAGCATCAGCGAAATGAATAGTCTTTCTCACCTGCCCTGGTGTTACTGTCAGCAGGATCTCCCTTGCTTTTTATCTGCTGCAACATGAGAGCACTTTGCTCCTCTGGATTTCAACACTGTGCTACTCAACAGTAGCAATTTTTGGCTTATTACATTGTTTTGCTTCCTGGTGGCATCAGTTTAGCTGTTGGCTTGCCTTTCCTCCTTCCCTAAAATGCAATTTATTACTCTTAGCCTGGCAGAAAGCGGCTTTTTTTTCTTCCCTTTTATTCTGCATCCATTTGCCAGCTGGCACTGTAGGTGCTTCATCCCCTTCCTTTAACCCCTTTTGCCTTCTTGCATGCCTCCTTCCTGACATCCTCTTTGACTTTCTCTAGAAAGCTTACGCTAAGGATGCTACGTCCTGAGCAGTAGAGGCCCATCTTATGCTTCTGTGAGGGTCCAGCTCTGAGTTCAGTGTTTATTGCAGTGTTTCTTGTTCTGCCTTCAGCCGATGCCTGTATGTCAAAAGAAGGTGGAAATTCTCCTCTTTTTGGCTTATCTCAGATTCTTGTACATGCTGGAGAGAGTCCCTTTCTGACCCTTAAGATTAGTCATTAAGCTCTGAAGCATGAGTTATGGTTTGTCTTTGGGGCATTATTAGATTCATGCTTTAGGGATCTAGTCCTTTGGGCTGCCAAGTGCTTTTAACTCTCTAGGACTGGTCCATAGGGACTGGCGCTAGGTGCAGGGTTGTCCAGTATCTATGTAGAGCAAGCTGGTGTTCTGAGGTAGCATTCTCCGTCCAGCAGCGAAAGCACTAGTCCATAGGAAAGCATTTTCTCTTGGCTTCTTCTACACAAGTACACATCTGTGTACTGATCATAGGAAAGCAGGGCTGGAAGTGATCTCACAAAATCATCTTGTCCAGCCCCCTGCTCAAGGCAGGATCTTCCCTGACTAAACCATTCCAGCCAAGTGTCTGTCTAATCTGCTCTTGAAAACTTCCAGGGATGGAAAATCCACAACTTCTCTAGGTAGATTGTTTCAGTACTTGAATAACCTCATACTTGACCTTCCTGCAGAAGAGGAAGCTTCCTCTTCTGCAGCTTGAGGCCATTGCTCTTAGTCCTGTCCTCTATGACCACAGAGAAAAGCCCATCTGCAACCTCTCTATAATCACCCTGCAGGTATCTGAAGACTTATCAAATCCCAATGCCACTTGCTCTTCTTGAGACTAAATAACCATAGTTCTTTCAGCCTTCTCTCAGGTCTTGTCTCCCAGGCCCCTGATCATTATTGTTGCTCTGTGTTACAGAATCGGAGAACTAGGACTGGAAGGGACCTCCAGAGGTCATGTGGTCCAACCCCCTGCCTGAGGCAGGATCATTCCTGTCCAAACCATCCCATACCACCACAATCTAAACTCTGTATAAAACTACTGTCAGTTTTGGCGTAACATAGACCTAACACCCCAACGTGCCACAGACAAAGCAGGGAACCACAGCAGCCAATGTCCTCCTCCTATAAAATGTTGTTAATATAAGGTCAAGAGGTCTCAGGTAGAGGGCCACACACACACCCTGCTACAGAGGAAGGCAAACCCCCCCCCACAGTCCATACCAATCTGACCATAGGGTAAAATTTCTTTCTGGCCCCAAATATGGTGATCAGTCTGACCCTGAGCAGAGGGGCAAGACCTTCTAGCCAGGAACTTCCAGCTTTGCTCCTAGCACACCACAGTTGAAGTCCCCACCCTTAGCTGTAGCCAACATTCAATGCCTCTGGGGAGGCTTAAAAACACCCTGACACATACAGCAGAAAAAAAAAAAAGGTGGGAGGAGGGGGGCGGGGGGAAGAAAAAGCAACCAGCAAAACTGAGAAGCATGGGAAATGCCCAATAGGCATAGCTACACCTAGCTCATCCCCAACCAGTAGCTGTCTAACCTGCTTGAACACCTCTAGCAATGGAGAGTCACAAATTCCCTAGGCAATCTAATCCACTACCCCACTATTCTCATAGTGAAGAAGTTTTTTCTAGATATCCAATCTAAATTTGTTTTGCAACTTCAGGCCGTAGGTGTGAGTCCTGCTTTCTGTATTAAGAGAGAAGGTGTTTTCCCTTCTCTTTATGGCAGTTCTTCAAGGATTTGAAGACTGCTGTCATGTTCCCTCTTAAGTGCTTTTTCTGAGCATGCCTAGCTCCTTCGGCCACTCCTTGTATGATTTGCTTTCCAATTCCTTGATCGTCATTGTTGCCCACCTCTGGATCCTTTCTAGCTTCTCCACGTCCTTTTTAAAATGTGGAGCCCAGAACTGCACACACTACTCCAGATGAGGCCTGACCAGTGCCAAGTAGAGGCACTATCTCCTGTGCCTTTCACCTAATGCTTCTATTGA